ATACGGAAAATAGTGCGGTACGTAGGTGGTAGGTTTATAGAAACTTATGCTACGAAATTATCTTCACACTTTTCTAAATGGGACAGAAAAAGACAAAAATTATAAAACTCTGCTGTAAATTTTTCTTCCACGCAGGGACTTTACCTACTTTTATGTTTAAAACAGTTGCCATCTGAAAGTTTCTATTCATGATTATGAGAAGTAAACTTAGTTATGAGATAGGTGAACCGACGATCAGTCTGGTGAAGGTCGCGGGAAGTACCTGGATGCGGGCAGCGTAGGACCGTTATGGAAATCCTTGGGGGAGGCCTTGTCCAGCAGTGGACATCATTTGGATGAAACGAACGATGGAATGAATGAACTATTCCATAAAACTAGTGGACAGTTTTAACCACGAAGGAATGAAACAGTTTATATTTTTATCATCTTTTCTCTTGCAAAAGAAACACTGGTAGGTCTGATACCTCTAGAGCTATACGATGTAGAAAACCAAATCAAATCAAATCATTTATTTTGCGAAAATGGGTTTACATCAGTAGGTGTTACAATTTTTCAAGTAGGTATCTCCATCTTCCACCTTAAGGCATGCAAAATTATTACTGTTATTAAATTATTATTGTTACCAGGTAAATATTTGCAATAAAGAAAAGAAAAATAGAGTCTTTAACTACCAATTTCGGGTGATTATGAACCAAAGTAGAAAAGTTTACAAACAGCCCTCAGGCTTGACCGACTCTGATTGTGTTTTCTAAATATCGAGGAATAACATAATTTCCTGCTTACTTGAGGTAATTTTAACTTGATCGATCGATGAAATGCCGTTAGAGTAATTTCCTAATCCTACATAGGGAATGAAATATAAGGGAAAAGATAAAATAAAGACTAACACCATTACACCACCATGCTTATAATCACTAATAGCTAAAGACAAAGACATAAGTGAAACTGATAAAATTTCTTTGGTATTGAAGACCGTTTATTTTAAATTATAGGAAAATAAACGATCTTCTCTTCAATTCAAAATCATTAAGAATCCACACTACAATTTAGAACAAGGAAGAATTTAGATAATAGTTATTTTTTTATTTTTTTCTTTATTTGGAAAACATGCAGCGTACAGATTCACAACAACAAAACAGTTGTTTGTGTCGATAATTCAAAATATTATTATGTTTTATCTAAACAAATAAGAAAAAGATTAAATAACACTCAAACCGAAAAAAGGATAAAAAAAAACAAGAAAATATAAGAAATAGTCTTCAAAATCGATTAAGACTTAGAATCGATGTTATTCAGGTAATAACCGGGTAGGGGATCTAATTTGCGTGATTGGATGATAAACATCAGACAAGTGACACTAAATAAAAGCTTGTAAAATAAGTATGTTCGTGTAATGATATCGCTAAATCTTTGAAATTACATTAAACATCGTTTGTTATTGTTTCATTGGCTCCATTAAGAAGAAAGACAATCCCATACAAAGTTGGAACGCGCTCTTGGCAGGCTCGCCCAAGTTCACGGCTAGAATTTGTTTACGCGTTAAAAATAACCATTTTGTTTGCTTCTGGTGAATTAACGGTACACGTTTCGCTTTTTATAAGTCGGGATTTGGCACGAATTGAGATCACTAAGTAATGTATAACATCCATCATCATCATCATCATTTCAGCCATAGGACGTCCACTGCTGAACATCGTTCGTTTGTTCGTTTCAGAAAAATGACGTCCATTTCTGGACAAACAAAGGCCTCCCCCAAAGATTTCCATAACGACCGGTCCTGAGCTGCCTGCATTCAGGTTCTTCCCGCGACCTTCACCAGATCGTCGGTCCACCTAGTGGGAGACCTGCCCATGCTACGTCTTCCGGCCCGTGGTCGCCACTCGAGAACTTTCCTGCCCCAACGACCATCGTCTCTATGCCCACTGCTACTAGATTTTAGCAACTCTGAGAGCTGAACATATGCCAATGATTTCCATAATGACCGGTTGGTAGCGGCCTGCATCCAGCTATCTTTATCCTCTATGAGGTCGTCGGTCCATCTTGTGGGTGGACATCTTACGCTGCGCTTTCCGCAAACTACCATACCTAATGTTAGCCGATGCACTTACTTGCAGAAGAGTTAAGGAAAGTCAAACTGAAAAAGTATACTAATATTGTTTAAGGTAAACATAAACCTGTCTGTCCGTCTGTTTTCTTTCTTGTAACGTTTTCAACATATTACAAAGTTTATTTCCTTGCTAAAAAAATAATAATTATCCTGCTTTCGCCTCCGAGATTTATTTTACCATGTAGTAGTACCCCTGTACGACAACCCAATCCGCACACAATATTCAGCGTAGTAGTATTAAAAAACAAAAGAGCGGGCAACCCCACCCCTACCACGCTGTGGGCTCGGTGTCCGAGCGGTCTCATTCCTTTGTGCGCANTTGTGTTCGTACTTTGTTGCTAATTAGTTAATTAGATGACATCTTTAGAGCTTGGTTCTGCCAAAAGAGGGGTTACCCCTTTCGTCAAAAATTAATGTTGGTGTATTGTTTCTTTTCTGTTACGACAATACGTGCTGTAGAATGAAAAGCATGAATTTGAATGCTTTCTTAATTACTGTGATGAATTTGAAATTTGCAAAATGTAAAGACATAAGTACCTACATCCAAGGTGGACCGACGATCTGGTGAAGGTCGCAGGAAGAGCCTGGATGTGGGCAGCGCAGGACCGTTCATTGTGGAAAACCTTGGAGGAGGCCTTTGTCCAGCAGTGGACGTCATTCGGCTGAAACGAACGAACGAAGAACCTATATAAAAAAATAGGGGGGCGATCAGTGGTTGAATGGAACGTTGGAACCTTAGGAGATCAGGTTCAGTAGTGATGATGTGTTCTGGGAGATTGTATGTGACCAGTAGTGCTTTCAGAAAGGAGAATGGAACTATTTGACTTCATGGTCACCATTTTCAGCCTTTTACAAGATGTATTGCGTTCAACAATTTCAGCAACTCATGACTAAACCACCACTGTTTCATTGGAACCTTCAAAATAATTTTGATAAATATGAAATCTACATTTGTAAACCAAACTTTAAATTACCATAAAATTGCTGATAGATTCCACACTTACTGTTTTAGGAGTTGAAGGCCATGCTATGCGTTGACGATTTGCACATCTAGTTCCAGCATCATGAAGACTATGATGATGGAAAGTCGCTCTTATTACAATGATCATAAAGTGCTTAGGTGTTTAACTTTATGTGCCTTACAAAGATACAAGAAAAAAACTTAGAGAAGATGGGTCATTGTTATGTATCAGTAATTTTTTTAAAACGTTTATTCAATGATAATTTCATAATACGGGCCCAAGTAAAGGTTATCGCGGTTCTATGAAATAAGGAACTTGTTAGCACGAGGAAATGCTTTAAGCGATAGATCGTGTCCTAAGTTGTTACGGCTGATATATGGAAAATAGTGCGGTACGTAGGTGGTCTGTATAAAGTTTTTTCTACGAAATTATAAAAATAAAAAAATTGTCTTCTGTAAGTTTTTCTTCCATTTAGGGACTGAAAATTTCTATCTAAATATATAAAAATAGAAACTGACTGACTGACATATCAACGCACAGCCTAAACGGCTTTGAAATTTGGAAGGGACGTAGCTTAGATAGCGTAGAGGTGCACTAAGAAAGGAATTCCCGAATGTGATTGGTTCATGTGTCAACCTGTGCGTCCACGCGCACTGTGAGCCCTCATAGTAATGTGAATACGGGCGTTAGTAGGTCTGATACCTGTAGAGCTATACGATGTAGAAAACCAGGTAAATATTTGCGATAAAGAAAAGAAAAATAGAGTCTTTAACTACCAATTTCGGGTAATTATGAACCAAAGTAGAAAAGTTTACAAACAGCCCTCAGGCTTGACCGACTCTGATTGTGTTTTCTAAATATCGAGGAATAACATAATTTCCTGCTTACTTGAGGTAATTTTAACTTGATCGATCGATGAAATGCCGTTAGAGTAATTTCCTAATCCTACATAGGGAATTAAATTTTATAGGAATTAAGATAAAATAAAGTCTAACACCACCATGCTTATAATCACTAACAGACTAAACACAAATAAAACTGATGAAATTTATTTGGTATTGAAGACCGTTTATTTTAAATTATAGGAAAATAAACGATCTTCTCTTCAATTCAAAATCACGAAGAATCCACACTACAATTTAGAACAAGGATTTAGATAGTGTTTTTTTTTTTGTTTTTTTTTTCTTTATTTGGAAAACATGCAGCGTACAGATTCACAACAACAAAACAGTTGCTTGTGTCGATAATTAAAAATATGCTTTAACTAAACAAATAGGAAAAAGATGAAATAACACTCAAACCGAAAAAAGGATAAAAAAAAACAAGAAAACATAAGAAATAGTCTTCAAAATCGATTAAGACTTACGGTCTTATTCATAATCATTTTTCACATTTTATCAAATGCTTATTAGAGGTTTATAAAACGTTTGATAAAAATTGTTATTCATAATCGTCATTTAGCGCTAAAATCCTCTTATAACTGTGTGATAAGTTATCGAGAGCTCGGGCCTTGTTTAAAGCTCTAATAANAAGTAGAGATTTGGAAAACAAACAATTATTATAAAACTTACATTTACAATAATTTTAGCACCTAGGTGTAAAAATTTTCCGCTTATAAAAGTCAGTTTGACTCAACTCCATTAACCATTCCCCTATCAAGATAAAGTAGGTAAACCACTTTACCCGCGCAAAAATATCTACAGGATGTTAGGTAAATGGGTATATCCCATCAAAAACAATACTTGTCAAAAAAACCAAGTCTCGCAACTCAGTTGTTCTACGGTAAAAAGTTGTGAGATCCATGTAATACCAAGTCCAGGCCAGGAAATCTTTAACGTTTTACATAAATTATTGACTTGGCCATCGCACTAAATAATTTAATTTACACGTGTTTTCATGCGATGGCCAAGTCAATATATTTATGTAAAACGTTAAAGATTTCCTGTGACTACAAATTCATTGGGCAACCAAGATGCTATATCATCAGCCCTATCGTCAGGCACTGATAATGGTGGACCACCGCCAGTTTTAATTTGAGCCTGCCTAGCAATGGTCTTGTCTTTCTTCGCACTGATTTTTATGAGGCTCCATTGCGATTTTAACTGGGTAATGGAGCGGTTCATACCAGCGCACATTGAATTAAACCTGAAAAAGAAATGACAGGATTTTGAATTACAGGTAAAGGCAAAATTTTATATTGAAGGCAGAAATCAAAAGATGTACCAACGTTGTTTGTAAATCAGCCCAAGCCGCAACCTTCCGTTTATTCGTGTTAGTGTCTGTATTTTTATTTTCGATTGCATTTACTCTTTCTTTCACCAACTCTTTCAGCAAATACTGAAAAGCAAACACTAGGCGTCAAACATAAATAAAACCATGCTACAAAAATTAGTAGGCACTTTATCAGGCTAAAAATAAGTACTACCTTATCTTCCTCCAACCAGTTTTCTGATCGTTGCCTTTTAGGCGGTCTGTTCTCCTTCGTCATGGACATAATTAGTATCCGATGTAACTAGCCGGGTCGTCGTAAGAGCTTATTGCAGAGTACAGGGTAAGAGGTACAGAATCCAGAACATACAATCCCAAGTTTTATAAAAGTTTGATAAAACTTGGGAGTTGATCGAAAAAACCGAAAACTTTATTAAATTTTCGTGCCAAATGTCAATGTCAGTAAGTAAAACGTCACAGCTGCCAATTTTTTGTTTTTTTTTTCTGCGATTTGTCTATGATTTTACATGGTCCATCAAGTTAAATCACCAAAAAAGCTGTTTTCGTTCATTCTTTTTGTATAGTCTGTGGAAAGAAAATATTAAACTCTGTTTTAGCTATCAAAGGTTTATAAACGATTATGAATAACGTTTTTTATCAGAGGTTTATAAGAGTGTTTTAAGCCTATCAAACGTTTTAGCTAATGTAGGTTTTAAACCTATATTAGCATTTTATTATGAATAAGACCGTTAGAATCGATGTTATTCGGAGAATAACCGGGTAGGGGATCTAATTTGCGTGATTTGATGATAAACATCAGACAAGTGAAACTAAATAAAAGCTTGTAAAATAAGTATGTTCGTGTAAATGTGTATCGCTAAATCTTTTAAATTACTTACATTAAACATCGTTTGTTATTGTTTCAAGAAAGACAATCCCATACAAAGTTGGAACGCGCTCTTGGCAGGCGCGCCCAAGTTCACGGCTAGAATTTGTTTACGCGTTAAAAATAACCATTTTGTTTGCTTCTGGTGAATTAACGGTACACGTTTCGCTTTTTATAAGTCGGGATTTGGCACGAATTTAGATCACTAACTAATGTATAACATCCATCATCTTCATCATCATTTCAGCCGTAGGACTTCCTTTCAGAAAAATGACGTCCATTGCTGGACAAACAAAGGCCTCCCCCAAGGATTTTCCTGCGCTGCCTGCATACAGGCTTTTCCCGCGACCTTCACCAGATCGTCGGTCCACCTAGTGGGAGACCTGCCCATGCTACGTCTTCCGGCCCGTGGTCGCCACTCGTGAACTTTTCTGCCCCAACGATCATCGTCACTAGGCCCACTACCACTTGATTTTAGCAACTCTGCGAGATGAACATAGGCCTCTCCCAATAATTTCCATAATGACCGGTTGGTAGCGGCCTGCATCCAGCTATCTTTATCCTTTATGAGGTCGTCGGTCCATCTTGTGGGTGGACATCTTACGCTGCGCTTTCCGCAAACATCCATACCTAATAGCCGATGCACTTACCTACTTGCAGAAGAGATAAGGAAAGTCAAACTGAAAAAGTATACTTACTAATATTGTTTAAGGTAAACTTAAACCTGTCTGTTTTCTTTCTTGTAATGTCTTCAACATATTACAAAGTTTATTTTCTTGCTAAAAATATTAAACTTAAATGAAATATTTAATTTTCTTAAACGAAAACTATTTTTTGTGAGGCTATTCTTCACTTGGATACGAAAATGAATAATATTGGTACTCATTAAACCATTGTATATCATTCAATAATATTGTGGCTTGAAATTGAAATTCGACTTATTTGCATAGCTGCTATTATACATTATACCTACGTACATTATTTTATTGTAAGCTAATACCAGAGAGTTTTCATTGAAGTAAAATTTAGCATGTAAAATTCGCATCGCTACGTTATCACCACCATTTTAGCGAGTCATTCCCATCTACCGACGGGGTTTTCCCCCATTCATGCCTACGAAAAATTAGAATTTTTTGGGTGAAAATATAACGAAAATTCTTATTAATGGACATTATGAATAGCCTTCCCTTAAAAGTGTATGTAGACTGCTTCTCACTTAAAATCAGGTGCGATTGCGGTCAAATACCTGCCTTGTTCTGCATAAAAAAAACAAAGCACGATCTCCTGCAATTTGGATCTAGCTAGCCACTGCCAAGTAACTTGTATTTATTTATAAACAGTTTACATAAAAAAACTGCAATAAATAATAAAACTTTTGTCAAACCGAGCGTCTTTGTGCCCTGCCCTTGATAGAGGCAATATTTAGTGTTTACAAGCAAGTAACACCCAATTATATTTCTGGTCATGGTCAGTTTTTGCAAACTGCTCTAACCTTTGATAGACTTCGGACTTGGTATCAATAAAAGTAATTGAAATGGAGAGTAAAGGTATATTCATATTGCTCTACGCTACGATGAGAGAAAACTAGACAACTAGAAAGTAACAAAAATATTAAAGAATCTTAATGTGTATTAAAAATTACTACCATAACTATTTTATACATAAGCCTAAAGAAGTTCCAAATGCCCTCTACGTAATTTTAGCATCCTTTGACGTACTTTAACAGTTTATGTTTGTCTAAATGATTTCAGTGTAAGTAAAATGCAAACATAGAAAAAGATAGCGAGTGGGCACGCAATTAGGATCTTTACATAGCTACACTAAAAGGACTGCATGACTTGGTGATTACGATTTTGAATACCAGCCGGGACAATAGTAATGAGCACAATAATTTAAAAATAAATTCTTGGACAACTTAACAGGAGTAGTATTTTCTTTAATTATTGTTGCTTTTTACTCATAATTCTCTAAACCCCCGTGATCATTCTCCACGATCAACACCTCAAGAGAAGTGGGGATGGCTGAAAACCAGCGCCGTCTAGGACAAGTAGACCTTGGCAGCACAAGCTGAGCCACCTCCAGTTGCTTCAAACGTTTTATTATAAATTTTCTTTTGTAATTTCCTTTTTTTGTAAAGCAATAAACGGTTTTAAGTTAAGCACTGTTCATTCTTTTCTTTCAGCCAAATGGTTTGGTTAGTGGTAAAGCTTATCCTCGTAATTCTAAGCCAGCCTGGCTAGCTACCACCATCTTACCTAAGTCTGCCGCCATAACAGTATTGTTGTGTTCCAGCAGTTGGAGGTAAGATAGCCAGTTCCTCTGTGGTTGAGGATTTCGGGTGAAGCTTCTACCTTCGGTCTGATCATCATTTTCCATCGGGTGAGATTCAGGCTAAGAGCTTCTTCGCGATGAAAAAAGACTGATGGACAGAGCCTAAGGATATTCATAAGAACTGGTCCTGCGCTGCCCGCTTCCAGGTACTTCTTCAGCATGTTCTTATTTCTTTTCGCTCTTGGCACACCGTTCGTGGTCACGTTGAGGCATTATAATGATTCACATCGGTTGTTTGTAGAGACGGATTAGATAGGACTCTCTGCACGATCTCCCGCCATCTCTCTCTGTTGGAAGACTGTCTGGTGCAGTCACGTACGCCGTTTCCCACCGCCGATCTGCCACCAGCATGTTATATAGATGTATATGTAGGAGCTATTTTGCCACAAAGAATGTCTGATACACTGTTTGCAGACCGTTCCTGCTATAACACGACATTCACTGTGTAAGTAAACCGCTTCAGATTTTGAGTTTACATACAGATTAATCTACAAATATTTGCCCACGAAATTCGTTATGATGCATTTAGCAATCCTCTTGCTAATATCATTACTCATTATTATACTAATATTAAAAGATGTCGCTATATTAATGTTTACTGTCACTACACATACCCAGACATGTCACGTTTAGTTTCAATGTATGGTGATCCCAACTCGATGGACTGACGACCAAATCTCTTTGCTTCTGGTAAAGTAAAGAATCAAGCAGTTGAGACTATAATGGTCCAGGGAGTTATGCGAGTTTACATCAAACGTCATAGCTAGCGACTGCGAAAAAAATGTCTGATTTTTCAAACTTTTCACTGAAGAATAAGTTCGGCACTTTGACAGTTTTATTCTTCAGTTAAAAGATAACTGACGATTGAAAGATAAGCCCAGTATGATAGATTGTACAGCGTCGTTAGTAGTTTAAGAAATGAAATCTTCATATCTTTTTGACACACTCGCTAGCGACTACGGATAATGTTTCGGTTCAAGAACGGTCAAGCAAGTCCGGGAAAAATCAATTTTCCACCGTGTCTACAATACATACGCAAAATCTGAAACAATATTCAGTATACAGCAACAGTTGNTCATTAAACCATTGTCTACCATTCAATAATACTGTGGCATGAAATTGAAATTCGACTTGTTTGGATAGCTGATACTGTATGTACATTACATTATACCTATCTACATTTTATTTTATTGTAAGCAAAATTTTGCATGTAAAATTCGCATCGCTACCTACGTCATCACCATCATTTTAGCGGGTCATTCTCATTTTCTACCGACGGGGTTTTCCCCATTAATGCCTACGAAAAATAAGAATTTTTTGGGTGAAAATATAACGAAAATTCTTATTGATGGACATTAGCCTTCCTTAAAAGTTCCATTAAAAGTGTATGTAGACTGCTTCTCACTTAAAATCAGGTGCGATTGCGGTCAAATACCTACCTTGTTCGGCATTAAAAAAAAACAAAGCACGATGTCCTATAATTTTGATATAGCCACTGCCAACTAACTTGTATTTATTTATGAATAGTTTACATAAAAAAACTGCAATAAAATAAAAAAACTTTTGTCAAACCGAGCGTCTTTGTCGCCTGCCCTTGACAGAGCAAATATAGTGTTTACCAGCAAGTAACACCCAATTATATTTCTGGTCATGGTCAGTTTTTGCAAAGTACTGTAACCTTTGATAGACTTCGGACTTGGTATCAATAAAAGTAAATTGAAATGGAGAGTTACGGTATATTCACATTGCTCATACTACGAGGAGAGAAAACTATAGACAAGCGCTTGCGCGGGCTTTTTTTAGCAAAATGTATGAAATTGCATACCCGCCAATAGCGGAGGCAACTAGTGGGTTATGTGGGGCTCTCCGATCAGAACGGTAGGGCCTACGGAGGCGGCCATTAATTACGTGAGACAATTTTTCAATAAAAAAAAGTTGAATAATTTTTAATTATCATCTTAAAATACATAATTTTTTTGATTTAAAATAACCCAGCTCTCTAGCAATTTGACCCTTTTCCTCGCTGAAAAAAATACGTGATATTTGACGAGACCCCCCCTCTCCCCTACGTGAGATTTAGTGAACTTTTTGTTCACTATTCCCCGTTAACGCCAAATTGGAGCTTATAATGGGGAATAATTAACTAATAAGTTCATTAATCCCCATAATTTTAAAAATAAAATCCTAATATAACGGGGATTAATGAACTTTTTAGTTCATTATTCCCCATTATATATGCTCCAATTGGCGTTAACAGGGAATAGTGGAATAAGCCATTTTAACTGAAACAGTTTTCTTGGAAAGGAACAAATATAGGTAGTAAAGAGTAAAAGACTTAAGTGGTAAATGTGGTAATAAAAATTAGTACCTTTAGAAGACTAGTCTTCAAAAGAAGTTCCAAATGCCCTTTACGTAATTTTAGCGTTCTTTGACGTACTTTAACAG